CAAAATTCACAATTCATTCAGATAAAATCACTTAATGGAAATCAAAATAATTGTGCGAAACTATTCACGTGCTCATATTTGCAATTCAATTGCACATTTCACAATTCCATATTGGTGTACATGAATTGAATTATAAATAAATTCTAACATTAGCTATATGTGACTTGCTTTCAATTGCCCAACAAGGTCCAGCGAGTGAATTGATAATTGCTTTTCTCACAAAAAAATTCGTCGAACAGTAGAATGTCCAAAATTTTCTTTTCAATAAAAGAATTACGTGACCATTGTTGATCAAGGGTTATCAAATTTGTTTCAATTTGAAATTGATTGCAGCCTTATGCTTATTCGTTTATTCAATTTTGGGAAAATAAATTTAGGAATAAATTAGGATTCATACTAAACTAACAGATAAATCCTTGAATTTATAATTAGAGTTTATCTTAATTTAGGAAAAACTTTCATAAAAGAAAAATCATAAATCTAATAACTATGTTATGATATTACATGTCAGTTAATTTGTAGTTTTCCTACATTCTTAATTCATTATAGAAAACTACTCGTAAGATTTTTATATTATTGATGATATAACGTACATAAATACATGAATCATAATAAGAAGACTAACATTGATTCATGAAAGTATATTCTTTAATCTCTTTGTTCTCCAATCTTCTTTTTCTCAATCTATCTCTTTGTCTTTTTTCTCTTCTCACGCTTTCTTGATAGTTTATCGTGAAAAAAAACTTTATGGTCGAGAGATAGAACCCTAATCCCTTTTATTAATCAACGTCCATCAAGTTAGTTATCGTAAATTTTTATTTTATTTTATCTTTATTTTATTCTGACTTCACATAATAACCAATAGGTCCTTGTATTTTATTAAATCATATTTGGACATATCATTATATTTCACATTAGTCACATAATAGAATGAAATAATTAAATTAATTTTAACAATTTAATAATACATAATAGAAAATGTAGTAAGATATAAGATGAAGTTTGAGACGCGTGATTGTTATTTTGAAAATTTTTAATTTTTCATAATATAATAAGTTCTCTGAACGACTCTAAATGAAAAAAACATTAATTAATTAATTAATTAATTAATTGATTTCTTAATTGATTAGAAGATTAAAAATAAGAGAAAGAAATGTAAGCAACAACACCTAAGAGAATAATAGTGATTTTTTTTTCTAATTTGAAAATGAATAATGTTAAAGTAAAAAAAACATTGAAAAAGTCAAATGAAATTATTATTTTTTAAATAAAATTAAAAAATATCTTCTTAGAAAAAAATGTTTCATGTCTAATATAAATAGAAGATGTCATCAACTATAACTCGTAGAATTGTGAAATTTTTAAGTATATAAAAGTTTTTCAATTTAATCTTAAAATTTAAATTAATTTAATTACATTATTTTAAAATAGTTTGAATATATCGGAATAATTTCTTATTAAATTTTTACATCTTACCAATAAAATTCAATTTAGTTAATCTGAAATAATAAAATACAATTTAATATAATAAATATAAGGACTTGCTTGAAGTGAATATACATAATAAAAGACACTTTAAAGAATTTTTTATTTTTTATTAATATTTAAGAACTAACAAGAAAAATATAAAACTATTTAACATAAAATAATGAATTTAAATATGCATAATTTTTATTCAAGCCAATAATTAGAGTGAAATGAGATTGATTTAGTTATTTTGTTCTCTAAGCGAGAAAACATATCGTTCAAATAATAATATTTTTTACTAAAACGAAAATATAAATGGAAGATAAAGAAAGAATGTGTATGAAGTAAGGATAATTCACTTAAATAACACTTCTTTCCATAAGTTATGTGTGTATATGTTTAAAAGTTGTGTTTTGTGTAGCTTACTTGAATGGTAACGATAACATTGTAACATTCCCAAAACACATATAATAGATTTATATGAATATATGAATATATAAATAGTTTTGTGTAGCTTACTTGAATATATAAATATATGAATATATAAATATATGAATATATAAATATATAAATATATAAATATATATATATATATAAATATATAAATATATAAATATATTTATATTTATAGATTTTATATTTATATATTTATAAAAGTAATTAGATTAAATTTATTATCCCCTCATATATTATTATACATTATTAGCATAATTTTAGTTTAATTAAAAATTAGAATACAAGTATACTATACTAATATACCATTATATTATTTTCATTGTGTATGAATTACATTGTGTATAAATTACAAAACTAATAATTTATATAATATATTATACTAATAATTTATATAATATATTATACTAATAATATAATATACTATACTATAATATTATTTGTATACAAAACTAATATTTTTATATATAAAGATATAAATATATAAATTTGTAAAGATATAAATATATGTAAAAATATAAAGATATAAAGATATAAATATGTAAAGATATAAAGATAGAAATATATAAAGATATAAATATATAAATATGTAAAGATATAAATATATATTTGTATACAAAACTATAATATTACTTGTATACAAAACTAATATCTTTATATTTAAATATATAAATATATAAATATGTAAAGATATAAATATATGTAAAAAAATAAAGATATAAATATATAAAGATATAAATATATGTAAAGATATAAAGATATAAATATGTAAAGATATAAATATATAAATATATAAATATGTAAAGATATAAATATATATCTTTAATATTTTGTATACGTAAATATAATTTATATATATTTTTAAACTTTTTTTTCATATTTATTTTTAAAAATATAATATTATTTTTAAAATTTAATATTTTAATTTTTAATTTTTTCTTAAATATATAAATATATAAATATATAAATGTATAAAGATATAAATAAATATATAAATATATAAATATATAAATATATAAATATATAAATATATAAATATATAAATATATAAATATATAAATATATGAATATTTAAATATATAAATATATGAATATTTAAATATATATTAAAATATATAAATATATTTGTATTTATAGATTTTATATTTATATATTTATAAAAATAATTAGATTAAATTTATTATCCCCTCATATATTATTATACATTATTAGCGTAATTTTAGTTTAATTAAAATTAGAATACAAGTATACTATACTATACTAATATACCATTATATTATTTTTATTGTGTATAAATTACATTGTGTATAAATTACAAAACTAATAATTTGTATACTATATTATACTAATATATAATTTGTAATACTATAATATTATTTGTATACAAAACTAATATTTTTATATTTTTATATATAAATATATAAAGATATAAATATATAAATATATAAAGATATAAAGATATAAATATATAAAGATATAAATATATAAAGATATAAAGATATAAATATATAAAGATATAAAGATATAAATATATAAAGATATAAATATATAAATATGTAAAGATATAAATATATATTTTGTACATGTAAATATAATTTATATATATTTTTAAACTTTTTTTAATATTTATTTTTAAAAATATATAAATATAAATAATTAAAAATAATTAACAACATACAAAACACCACCCATCATCTTATAATTCATCATAAATAATATATAAATAAACTTACAATGTTTTTTTAAATAATTATAATTATTTTTAAATTTTTAACTCTGAAAATCTATATTGTATTTGTATATTTAAGATCATAGAATTAAAATAAAATTTGTCAATTTTATTATTAAAAAATATTTTAAATATTTTCTGAACTTAAATTAAAAAGGTTATTAACTTTTTTTTATAATTTAAAATTTCACAAGATCTTACGATTTTTTTATTAAAATTAATAATATTTAACCATTTTATTTATTGACTTTTGGCAAATAAATTTTAATAATATGAATAAAATAAAAAACTAAACATTAATATGATATATATATATATATATATATATATATATATATATATATATTTTGTTCATGACTTTCTATTCTCAAACTTTGTTGAAAAAAGTTATTATAAAAATAAAGTGTGTAATTTTCATATTCGATTTGTGTATTAAATTATAATTATGTGAGACTAGTGTTTGAGAATTTTTATTTTTTTAGTTGTTCTAGTGATAATACCTGGAAATATGTGTCAAATTATTAAGAAAAGTTAAAATTGTAATTTTCTTGGTTTAAAGAATTTTATATATAGTATAAAAAATGTATAAATGAACTTGATTAAAAGTATTTTAGTTTCAAATTCACTAAACATTTTGTTTTCAAAATTATATTAAAAAAAAAATGAAGCAAAGAGAAACTTTTTGTTTTTCGTTCATAAGGAAAGAACCACACTGTAGCGAAATTCTGTGATTAATTTTAAAATAAAGACGGAATCAAATCTAAAATCAATTTACCAAAAAATAAATCTGATACTTTTAATAAACTTAAAATTTGTTTAAAGAATTAAATTTATTCAACTTAATCAAATCAACTTACACATCACTTTTTCAAATTCAAACGAATTAAATTTAACGAGATATTATCTAATTAGACTTCAACAACAATATGTAATTGCAGTAACTTATTTATGAATTAATTATTATCTGAAAACAAATTAACCTGATGTTGGTAGCAAATTAAAGCCTTTAATCAATATATATTTTTCTTATTAAATGTACTCGTTAAAAAATTGAAAAATAATATTTTTATTGATTGAAAATATGAAACATCACTTTCCAAAAACAAGAAAAAAATAAACTTTACATAGAGATAAAAGAAAAAAAACTGATATAGGAAAAGATTAATTATTTATTAACAATTTCAACGAAAATCTTACATCACATGATATTTAAATTTAAAGTTTATTAAGTAGGAAATACAAATTATTATGAACCCTAAAAGACCATATTTGTAGTTCTTGGCCTTCTTTGAAGTCGTTGTCAGATACGATTTTGTTCCAGTTTTTTGTGAGGTTGAAAGTGGCTGTGTTCATGCTCCACTTTTTCATTCGTAGAGGATACTCTCTCATGCAAGGGTCTAACACTACCACTTCCAAGCCAATAAGTTTTTTTCTTGCGCCGTTTTCTCTTTCATCCAACTTTACAATCTCCTCCGCTGTCAGGAAAGCACATTTGATTTCGTTCACCGGCATCGACAAACGATTACTGTTTACATTCACGTCTGAAAAGAAAAGTCTTTTGCGCATAAGAAACTTCATATCACCACCACCCATCTCAGTCACTCGGTTTATGAGTTCAATCGACAAATCTTGTGGTGCTGGTGGTTGTTGTGGTGGCTGCAGTGGTTGTGGGGGTAATAGTAGTGGTTCAGGTGGTTGTGGTGGTGATGATGGTTGTGGTCGTGTTGGTGGTAATGATGGTTGTGGTGGTGCTGATGGTAATAGTAGTGGTTGAGGTGGTTGTGGTTGTGGTGATGGTGGTGGTGATGATGGTTGTGGTGGTGGTGGTGGTGATTGTAGTAGTAGTGGTTGAGGTGGTTGTGGTTGTGGTGATGGTGGTGGTGATGATGGTTGTGGTGGTGGTGGTGGTGATTGTAGTAGTAGTGGTTGAGGTGGTTGTGGTTGTGGTGATGGTGGTGGTGATGATGGTTGTGGTGGTTGTGGTGGTGGTTGTAGTGGTTGTGGTGGTGGTAGTAGTAGTTGTGGTGGTGGTGGTGGTGGTGGTGATGATGAACTTGCTATTGTTACTTTTGGTCTTTTAATCCTTATCCTTGTGATTTTCTTCTCTCCATGCATGTCTGGAGATTTTCTATAGAAAAAAATCCATAAAAAAAATACATAATTAGGTAAAAATTTTAAATTCAAACTAATTTATTGAAAATATATTAGTTAAAAAAACGTATAATTTAATAAAAGTATAAAAATTTCTCATGATTCCTTGATATAATATAATATATGAATTAATTACTATTTTGATATAAAAATTTATATTCAATTTATAAAACTCGTTAATTTTATTTTTTTATCAAAATACTTGAATAAAACACTAATGGTTTAAAGCAACTTTTTATACCTTTTTTTGACGTTTTTTGAATTTATATCTTCCTCGAGACAACCTTGAACTTGCGTGTAGAAATGATGGAGACAGAGCAACTCTTCTTGGTCGTAAAAATGTGGCGCATGTTGGGAGATAACCCAATGCAACATTGAAGGCTTAAATGGTTGGGAAGATAACCTTTGAAGAGACTCTCGATCAGTGACACCTGCAACTATTTCTTTCAAAGTTTTCAGATTCCTCATGGCTGTGAGTGAATTAATTGATGGAGAAAATGTAGGATTTGAAAGGAAGAATCAATGAAAAGTGATGATGATGAGGATGATGAATGCGTTTCAAGGTCATTAAATACTACCAAAATGATCAACTCTAAAGATTAATGATAAGAAAAAGATAATTAACTATAAAGATTAATTAATGATATAAAAAAGATAATAAACTATACAAATTAATGATAAGAAAAAGATAAACTATAAAGATTAATGATAAAAATACCTAGTTAAAGAAAGATGTTCAATAATTTTAAGTTTATGTAATGTCGATTTAAATTTAAATTTTTATATTGAATAATATATTAAGTATAATTATATTTAACTTCATAAAAATCATTAAATATATTCTTAATTAATGTTATTGTTTTTATCATTATTAATTTTTTTTTAATTTCTCATGAAAATTAATAAGAAGATAAGATTTTGATAATTTAAAAAAACAAAGATAAACTAATAGTATAAATCTTAATCTTAAAAAAAGGAGAAGATAAACGTTAATGTTTTATAATAAAGAAAATAATAACAGTTTTTATATAATCTTATTGGTTAAAAGATATCAATGTAGAACAAAATAAAATTTATATAATAATGAAAAGAGTAAAATATTTTATACCTGTATCATACTCTTTTTTTTTTCTCTTATTACTTATAATAAATCTTTTTTTGCTCGTAATATTAAAATAATTATTCCTCCTATCTTTTTCAGAATATAATAAAAATATATAATTTTAGTTACTAAAAGATAATATTGTTGTATAAACAATGACACCAAAAGTATTATTAAAAATAATTCTTTACATAACAGATGGAATTACAAAATATGAATTAAATATGGTACAAGAAATAAAATAATTATTTATTTTCAACCATAATCAAAATATAAGTAACGATAAAAATTTTAATTTTAGATAGCATTATATTTTGTTTGATTAGTTGTTGTAAAAAAAATATTCTAAGATAGATTATTGGAAGCTTTTAAAAATGTTGATAAAGAAGCCGATACTTTATTTTATTTTTTACTCATAAAAATATATCCTAAGATGTAAATTGATATACAACAATAAAATGTTATTGTATTTAAAAGATGTTGCAAGATAAGTAATAGATAAAAGTTATATAATAAATAAAAATTAACAAAGACAAAATATCTCTCTCTCTCTCTCTCTATATATATATATAAATAAGTAATAAAATAAATTTTTTTCTTCAATTTTCGTTCTTAGAATTTAATATTGACATTGTAAAAGGTAATTCCATAAATATAATTATGATTCTATAATATTATTATGATTCTATAGTATTATTTGCGTGATAATAATTTATAGTTAAATCTTCTTCCATGTCATATGTGTCAGAAAATTTGGAATTTTTACAATAAAAATATAAAAAATATAACTTCTCAAAATATTTCTTTTTATATTAGATTTTGGATAAACATAATATTTTATTATTAAAATTTACAGAATATATGTATTGTCTATGATATTCAAAAAGAAAGATCAAAGTTGAAACATTCAATACTAACAATATACAGTATAAAATGTATAAATCTTGTTTGAATTGAATTTATTATATTCTTAAAATGAAATCTAAATTTAAAACTTTGATTTTTTTATTTTAGTTCTAAATTACGATTTTGTCAATAACTCTTTCAGTTTTATTAACCTGCGTTTAAATCAAGAAGCGACACGACGCCGTTTAGACATTTCATGGTTTAACCTAACGTTCCCGGTTCGTTTCAGCGCAAAACACTCAAAGACTCGTACACACTAGTCGTTAGAGTGGCGCGTGGGAAGTGGCGCTCCAACCTCCCTGACCCGCCCTCCTCCACCGTCCTCTGCCGCCGCGCCCATGACGGAACCAGCCGCGGTTCCTACATTCCAGGCCAAGTTCAGCCACGAAGCGAAACTGAAGGAACTGCTCCACCGAATCACCTCTCTCGAGATAAAGCTATGCTCCGATGCCGCAAAAGAGTTTGCAAAGCTTCTGAAGTCCGAAACCGGCGGCGACCTACTCCGCGACTACGTGCGTGGGTCACCGAAGTGCTCGGAACTTCTCGAGGCGTGGAAGCTTCGCGAAGGAAAGCAAGGCATGAACTACGTGTTCGACCTAATCGCCGTGATTCTCAACCACAGTGAAGGTAAATACAACCGTAGCGACGGGGAGAGCGTGAATGTGAGCAAAGACTTGGATAAATTTGCGCGGTTACTGATTTCCGAACGGTTGAGTGATATCCACAAGGAGGTGAACAGCAAGGAGTGGCGCCGGCAGAGGGCGGCGCTGTCGCTCGCGGCCTCGATTGTACGGCGCGGGGCCAGCTTGGCGTCGGAGGTCTCAAAGAGCTTCGATTTCAAGCTGACGGAGTTCGGGAGGATCGCGTCGGAGCATCGGAGGAGGAGGCCAGAGGCAAGGGTAGGGTTGCTGCGGAAGTCTTTTGTGGGATTTGCAATGTCGTTTTTGGAGGTCGGGAAGCCGGGACTGTTGCGGTGGGTTTTGCAGCAGAGAGTGATGTATTCTGGCGTTCTGAGAGGGTTAGGCAACGATGATGATGAAACTGTGGTGTTTGTGTTAACGGTGTTAAGAGATAGGGTTCTTGTTGTGGAGTCGTTGGTGCCGCCAGGGCTTCGGAGTGTGTTGTTTGGGAGTGCTACGTTGGAGCAGTTGGTTGAGGTTTGTGGAAGGGAGGGTGGTGGTGATGCTGCTGAGGTGGCGTTTGGGGTACTTGTTCGGGTTTGTACTGATCCTTGCAATGGTTTGATGCCGGATTCAAAAATGCGGTTGAGGGGCAATACTAAGAGGGTCTTGGACCTCATGAAGAAGCTCCGGGTGACGGAAGTTCAGTATCATAGGGACTTGCTTTTTGCTATTGTTGAGTCCAAGGCTTCTTTTGGGTTGTCGTATTTGAAGGAGTTTCCTTACAACATTGAGAATTTTAAGTCTTCTTCATGGTAAGAATTGTTTACCTGGATTGTTGTTATGTTATTCATTATGTTTATGTGCATGAGCAATGTTACCGTGTCAGCAATACTATGAAGCACGGATACTTCAATTTGCTTCACATATATCGTGTTGGATACTTCATTACTTCACCGATACTCATCTCATCCATGAAGTAACTAATGAACCATCAATACTTTTATTTCTTTAGATAGTGTTAAAGAAAATATTTTATAATTACAATTTTTTATATTTTTTATTTCTACAATATCTCACCTAAAATTTGAATTCGCATGATTGTAGTTTTATAGTTATTATGTTTCATGAATTTTTTGTATATAAAATACATTTCTTATTCCTATTTTCTGACTCTTATCCGATACTCGTATGGTATTCATGCATCATATAGCAACAATACAAATAATTGACTTTAAGTAATGTTACCAAGTTAGCAATACAATGATTTACTCTATTTTGAATAGTCTCCCAAAATATTGGATTAAAACTGAAAACTGATTAACAAACACTTAGTTAGCAGAAATTATTATATGGTCTGGGACTATCATGGTCTCAATCAATCTCCACATGATATGTAATAGAGTGTTATTCATTATTTCCATAAATTAAAATAGTCTACTATGTGTCATGTAGAGATTGGTTGAGACCATGAATATTGATGGTTTGTGACTTCTAATAATTTATCCTATTGTAAGGGGGTAGAATGAGAATTTTCCCAATAATAATAGTGTCTGTATTTAAAAGAGCGAGTTAGTAGATGGTGTTGCTAGCAATTTTTCGTTACTGTGTTTTTTTCTTTCCTTTTTTCATTGATACCCTGTTTTGGGATGGTTACTGATGTATTTGCAGGATTCCTGCAATATCTGTGGCAGCTCAACTGGTTTCGTTGGTTGGTAATGGCATTTCTAAGGAATTTGTCGATTCCCGATCCAAGGTTCCACGCCTGTTGGATAATATGGATTTGCACAGTATTGTTAAATGCCTGTTTCCTCGTCCGTTCAACAGGCCATTGTTTAATAAGGGATTGCCGCACACTGAACCTTATGTGAAACATGGTACTCTAAGGCTTCTTCTGGAGTTAATGAAATTGCTGGACTCTCTTTTTGGTGGTTTGAACCGTAATTCTAGTTCCAACAATCCATTCATGCAGCATATGATGTCTATCAAGGATGAAATTCAGAATTATGTTCAAGCTTTTCTTCCTGATCTGCAGGTTCTATTAAATTTACTTTCATCTATAGATGCCAGTTCTGAAGCCTGGAACTCAACATTGAAGAGAAATGCATGCCATGATGAAGAGAACAGAAGTAGTAGAAAGAAGTTAAAAATGGACACTTCAGTGAGTGGTGATATAGATATAGTAGTTGCTGGGATAAGTTCTACTCCTGATATTGATTTGAATGACAACAGTGAAACAGTTGACGGTGGAGTAAGAGCAGATACTTTGGATGATGAAGAGTATCTCATGAATAGCATAGGAGAAATTTGGGGTGTGGACCTCCATTCCTTGGATATTAACACATGGACAGATGTGGAATCGTACTTACTGTCTAAACTGCTTGATGCTCTCAGATATTATAGGGTATGCTCTTTTTATAATCGTATTATATTACTTGAAATAGAAAAAGGAAAATAAAGAACTGATTTTGAGAGAGCCTGAAATCATCTTCTTGTGTTCTCTTATTTATAGGAGATAAAAATACAGATTCAGAGATACAATTAATAGAGAGACATGATTAATCCGAGAGAAGATAAACAGATGCATTATAGGAACTAGGTCTACAACTAATCTCATAAATGCCCAACAAGATACAATTAATCTAATAAATACTTCAACAATATTCAAGTAATTGGGTGTCACTAATATGGTTAAGAACAAATAAAAATAGCTAAAAAGACAAATCTAAATGTTTTCCCTTTAATTATATTATTACTTAGTTCCTTTAGACAATTTTCTGTTTGTTTAGCATTTTGGTATTTCCATTAGTGTCTGAAATACTATGTTGTTAGATTTATATATTTTAATAAACTAATATAATTGAGCTTTGATGGTGACTTGATCCTCAAGTTTCTTTGATGGTTATAGAAGAGTGTCGTTTATTTCAAGAACTTCAAATGATTTTTGTCTCTGTGCACTGGTAACTCAACTGCTTCTTTTTGCTTGTGATATACCTCATTTAATGATTTAGAGGCAAACTAGTTTTTGGTCTTTTCCCTACCAATTTAAGTGTTTGAGTTTTAATGACTCTTGATGTATGTCTCATGCTTTTCATTTATTCTAGGGGCAGTGATATCTTATAACAGTGTATTGTTCAGTATGTGGCATTTTAGTGTACACTTGGATGCCTGTAATTTTTTTATTAGATATAAACTTCCAAATTTAAGTATAATTTGTCTGATTGTCTATAAGTAAATGTGAGTTTTAATCTTCCCCAATTTCGTTTTGGCTTCACAAATACTCATGGCGATAATGGTAACAAAAAAACTGGTCTGCTACTCATTAATTTATTGATTTTATGGATCTCACTTTATTCATCAGAAACATTAAACATCATCAAGATTGTTTCTGTATTCTTTCCGTGAGAAACTTGTTGTTGGTGTCACGGTGACAGAATCAATTTGAGCATCCTCTTTTCCATTACCGCTGAGCGGTCCTGATTAAACCAGTTTAAGTTGTATTTCTCTGAAGACCTATTGAATTATTATGTAAGGGGTGTTTGACAGGCCTTATAGTTATCTCTTTTGTTGTTTCTCCAAAAAATGTAAATGCCATTCAGAAAGTAAAGCTCTTCTATGATATTTTCTTCTCTTAAATGCCATTTTATACTCTAGTCTTACACATCTTTGTGGTGTTTGGCAATGAGAGGATTGTTAGCAACACACATTTTACTATTGGTTAAAATTTATTGAAAATTATAAAATGTGTTGAGGGACTCATTAAATGAAAACTACGACCCACTAGCAATTGTGGTTTTCAATAAATTTTATCTAATAGCAGAGAGTGTGTTGCTAGCTTTTTTCTGAGCAAGAATTAATTTGATTTAGACAAAATCAAGTATAATTATAAACATTGTGCTTAAACTAGGTTGGTTGGTCTTTTATATTTACCTTTTTGTTTTTTCCTTGTACATTTGATGTCAAAATGTCTATAAAATCATATTTTTGGGACTGAGTATACTCTACAACTATAATTCTACAAGTATCTCAATCTCATTGTCTCTTTTATGGGAAAATTCTATTAAGCACCAAATGCTTTACTGAGCAGTCAGATATGAACATGTAGAAGAACAGTTGAATGTAAATTGAGATTAAAATAAAATCTCATATATTGTGTGAAATTTACTTGTTGAGTAAGGATGCCTCCCCAACTAATGGGTCAGCATATTGCTACTCAATCCTAATGAAAGAAAGGAAATCTGTTGTAATTGTTACATTATTTGTACAGAAATTTATATATATATATATATATATATATATATATATATTTATGTAATTCAATTATATGTGAGGTTATCTTAAATTCCTTTTCTGTTTTTTCATGTTCAGCGTGCTCTGCCTTTCACTTTGGATAATTCGTTTGAAACTTTCAAGGGTCTTCTCAAAAGCCCGTTGGAATTAACTAGTCATCTGCAGGTCTCAGTGTTGTCTCTGCTTGTGGAATACATTGAATGGTGTCCCGACAATGAAATTCCTATAAGAACACCAACCATGTTGTACAGATACCTACAACCATTCATTAAATTGTTAATGTTTTCACCATACAATGAAACAAGAGATCTGGCATACAGGTTGGCCTTGGCAGCTATGTTCAGTACTGGTGCTTTTGACGGGAACCTTCATGAGATTGAAGCATGGTTTTTATTTTTACCTGGTTATCATGGAAAGAAACCCCGTGTGAAAGTATCTGAGTTTGATGCATTACAGAGTTTAACTTTGTTTGTCATATCTTTCTTGTGTGATGCTGTTTCTACACTTGGGAATAATTTAGTTAAATATTGGAATATTCTGAAGAGTCATGCTGATTGTTTGAAAGGCAGTAAAGGTAATCAGTTTTGTATTCTCATATTTTGATTCTGTGTATACAGTTAACTCTAAATCACGAATATCATATGATGCTTCTTTTCCTTTTTGTTCTATTGCATAAGTTTTTTATCTTGGTCTATAAATTCATAGGATTAGTGTCTTTTTGTAGAGCTATGAAATATGCACTAGATAATTTTCTATGGTCATAGTATCTAGCAGGGGTCTTTTCATTTTTGTTTCCATTTCTATAGAAACGTTACTATCTAATGTTGCCAGAATTGTGGAGAAGCCTTTAGCTCTTCATTGCTGATTTGGTGGTTTTCATTTCAGATTTATCACCTCATTTTAGCCCCTTTATCATATGTGTGGTGGAGAAGTGTCTAAAGGTGGTTCAATCTAAATCAGGCTCCTGCTCGTTGCCTAAAAAATCTATGGTATTATTATATACTTGCAATACAGTGAAGTATCTCTTGCAAACGCAGGTACATAGATTCATCTTTGGACATTTTTGCTTAATTACTGTTTGCTGTCTGCACATCTAATGTTAGACTTGTGTTTCTGATAGGTCAATGCTGAATTGTTATCTGCTTTAGTTCATGCAGACTTGATAGAGAGACTTGGTGGCAATTATGAATGTGATGAAGTCTTTCCTGAGTGGAAGCCACTGAAGGATTTATTGGACTTTGTGGAGAGCATATTACACCAACGGAATTATTGCATCTCCTCTAAAAATGAAGAATCCCTCTGTCCTGATAGTTCTCTGGGTAGTGCACTAGGTAGTCTAAATAGATTGTTGAATTCTGGGTCTGATCATGCGATTGCAGAAACAACCATAGCTTTAGTATCCTCTATTATATTGGACGGTACTGGTAAAATGTTGACAAATTTGCCATCTTGTGTGGTCATTCCATGTGACTTGGTTGGAGTTCCTTTCTCGCTCTTATTATCTGTACTTTTTCTTGATTATAGTGTTCTTCACCACACTTCAAAGTTGTGGCCTGTAATGTTTTATGCTGGTTTGGATATGGCCATGTCAGATCTTGGTATTGGTAGTCAACATGCTGCTCCTGTTGGGAATTCTGATCACAGATTGTATCCAGATTCTTTAACTTGTACCCAACTTTTAAATGCTTCTGAAGCTGATGCTGTTACATTTAGTATCTTTCTAAAACAGGCACCTTTCCATGTGATATTTCCTGCAATGATGTGTATGAATGGTCCTTACATATCAAAGCTATCTAAAGTACAAGAGCTTTTACTACATAAATTATCTGAGTCCGTAAATGATTGCTTGCTCCTTCCTAATCTGCGACTTGTGCTCTTCTGGACTCATAGGATTCAGTTATGTTATGAAGTTAACCCAATGGCTGAAATCAAACAACTTCTGAATCTGTGTGTTACTCTTGTTGGGAACTTGTTAGTGCAGTTATTGGTCCCAGAAAGTTGTTCTGATTGCTCTATAAACTCTTCCTTTTGTTCAACAAGACATACCATTAAAGAAGTGATTAAAACAATTTTTTGCCATCCTTGTGTTTTGATGTCATTATCGTTTTCTCTGGGAAATTATCAGAACATTGCAAATGAAAATGTAGACAATGATTTCAATATGCTAAATATAGTATCCGGTGAGGGGTTTCACAAATTTGGTAATCCAATTTTACAGATATTAAAAATGACTCTAGATCACATGTGGTCTTTATTTGGTTCCCACCATTGGGCATCTACAGCTGAAGGTGTTGCTTGTTTATTTGTGAAGGATTTTGAAGGTCTTCAACAAAAACTATTTCTGGATGCCAGAGACAGATTTGAACTGTGCATTCAAACTAAAGATGTGATACCTCTCCTTCCAACATTGTATACTTTACATACTTTGCATAAGTTTTTATCCCCATTTGAGCTCCTTCAGTCAGTGGATTGGATGTTCAGTAGAGTTGAGGTGGATGATTTGCCAATTAAGAAATCCTTGCTATCTGTTGGATGTTCCCTAGCTGCTGATGCTTTCAGTGCTTTATCCATTTATTTTCAGCAGTCAACTGAAAACAGGGCACCTTATGATTTGTTTTGGGAGATGGATGTGAAGAATATGAATGCTCATATTTTTGAGCAGATTTACAGCAAGGTAGTTGACTTTTCTGTGTGTTTTGAAGTAGATAGTGCAGATCGATGCTTGCTTGAAGCTGTCAATGCCTTGTATAAGCAGAAACATATGCAACAAGAAACTTTTCATCCTTTGCTGTTGATCATGTGGAAAATTATAATGGTTACTCCATTGGAAATGCTTTCCCATTGTATTTACAAGACAAATGCTAAGAAAGCTTTATTTTTGCATATTCTTACTGAATTGAGTTCCCTGCATTCATCTATCTTTGGGCATTTATTTTTGGGTACAGTGAATAGAAGTTTTCATAATGATATTGGTGTGATGGACCACACCTCTGATCTCACTCTCTCTGAAGATCAGTTTATACTGCTTCTACCAGCCTCTTTGTCATACTTGAGCTCAATTTCTAAGAGACTTGGGGAGCAGAGTCTCAAAGATTTTGAACCTATACCTTACTATTATTCACAAATTCTCTTAAAAGGTTTCAGCCGGTGGAAGAGCTTTTCGTCGAAAGATATATTTGAGGAGCAATATGAGGAAGTCTTTCCATCATCTGATCAAGAGCTTCTCTGTCTTATTGATCGAAGTCTTCTTGGAAAATCAATTCATATGTTGAAGTATCACTTTGCTCTTAGTGGGGATTCAATGAAACTGAAAAAGAGATTAAATCTATTTAAGTCCATTTGCCCAAAGTTTGCTTTACATGATGATCTTATGGACTGTGAGACTGGAGTTATTGATAGTTATTCTCCATGTCAGTCTTTGAACATCATCAATCGTGTTGTTGCAAAGATAACACTTTGTAGAATATTATTGTTTCATGAAGAAGCAGGTGGGGGTTTGAAAGATTTGTCTGTAAAAATGCAAAGCAAAATGGGTAGATCTAGGATACGTTTCCTAAATATTTTGGTGGACATTTGGCAGTTTATTGTGAAGAAATTTTCATTAGCCTTTGATCAATCTAGAACTGCCAAAGGCACAAATATTTCATTGCTATATAATCACATGGAAGGGGTTTTGTTGCAGAGTATTCTTGAATTGGTTGGGGAAATGCAAAATGATCTTATTCAGTTGCAATCAATTTCCTTCCTCGAGCAATTAATCAGATCTGCTCTTCTCTATAGGTTTGGTGATTTTACAACAATGAAAACTCTCCGGGTTATATTATCACAGCTTAGTGAGGGAAGACTGTCATATGATTTATATCTTCAGTTGTTGCTTGCTCATTCTCAGTTTGCCCCCACTCTCCATTCAGTGCACAAACCAGCAGGTTCCTTTTTGAAGCCAGTATCCAGCATTCTGAAATGTCTTGTGATTCCTTCTCTTGGACATGGTGAAAGTGACGTGAAGCAGACAGGGCAAACAACTGTGCTTTCTAGTGGAACATTGGAAATTGTTAAAATGCTTTGGATACTCCTATGGATAAAAGCTCGCCAAACTGATTCAGATAATGGAAATGATAGTGACATAAATCTAAGAGAACTGCATGCACTGCTTCGTCATTCCTATGGTGCAACAGTCAACTGGTTAGATATAACAATATACAATCTTATGCAACAAATTGAGTCTATGAGTTGCCTGTGGTCTCAGAATGTCAAGTTAGATTCAGAAACAATTGAAGAATGGTACATAAGCCATCATAGAGACAACTTTCCGATTGACCCTGACATATGCGTGTCAACAGTCCTCTATTTTCCCTTTGATAGAAGTATCTCCGATGGGCTACCATCTGCAAACAAGAATGAACCAGCCACTGACAGGAAAAAGGTTCAAGCACGTTTTTTAGTTACTTGCCTAAATCTGTGTTTTCTGTCTGTAGTTTTGTACCTGTCGTAGTTTATATCTCATTGTTAACTAACTTCATTCAATCCTATGCAGATACATTCTCCTCATGTTGAAGACAGAGAACGATATGATCCTGCATTTATATTGCGATTTTCAATTCATAGTCTCTCAAAGGCTTATGTAGAGCCTGTGGAGTTTGCTGGGTCAGGGTTGCTGGCAATAGCATTTGTTAGCATGTCTTCCCCAAACAGTGGGATAAGAAGATTAGCCTATGGCACTCTTGATAAATTTAAGAATGCGTTGGAGGTTGGTTACAGGTTTATCAATTTATGCTTATTTTATCATCATTTAGAATTTAATTATGGCAATGTCAGATTTTTTTTCCATACTCTTTGGTTTGTGAAGATGGTTGTGTTAACTGTTCATTGTCGGCAGTTTGGCATGATTTCAAATGTTTTGGCAAGAACAAGGATGCCAAATATTTGTCCCCTTTTTATGTAAGTTCTTTTGTGGACAACTGTAAATGGTATGTTGTGATATGAATCTCAATAGCACAAGAGATGATTTAGGATCTTTAGGGTTAGAACCTTGGAGGAAATTTAGGAATTTAGTGATAAAGTAGAAGGAAAGAATCACTCTTCCCAAGGGAGGCAACTCACAAAGGATGTGAAAGTCCTTTGATCCAGCCAAATGTTCTTGAATCACTCAAGAATTTAGGAGAATCATTCTCACCAAGATAAAATAGCTGAACTCTAATATTTTTAAATAAAATTCAACTTGTTATATTTGATAAAAATATGGTTTAGCCTATATAGAAGCTTTGCCATCAGAATTACAAAGATTCAATAAAGGAAAATAAATGCTAATAATGATTCATTAACCTAGGAATTAAAAACTACTTAATGGAGACAAATAAAGGCTAATAATGATCTATTAACTTAGGAATTGATACTACTTAATGACTGATTGTAACTGAAATTGTGGCAACCAAAAATCAATAAGCTATGCACCCTCTTGGTCTCTCAAAGATTGATGACTAAGTTTCCAATTGAGCCCTTATTACAAATTGCAATAAAATCAAACTAAAACCCATTAATTGATTAATCTAAAACATAATTTGGTCAACCAACAGTACTTATTGAAGAGCTTCCTTTGCTTTCCTTGCTCTGACCCTTGTCATAAGTTTGTCTATTCATTTTTCATGGGGCCGTTTCTCATGATTCATTTCAAATGTTTTCACAAGAACAAGGATGCCAAATATGTCAGGGTATTTTTGATGAATTCTTTAGATAAAAATAGTGATATTTGTAGAGGTGTTTTGTTCTCTTACACGTGCTTTGGGATTGGGTCATGGTTACAGTGTCTCTTATGTTATAGTGGGGAAACTTTTATTGGTGATATGGAAGTTGCTGAAGATGCTACATTGTTTAGAAATATGACCAAAATATATACAGTGGAACAACTTTCATCTTACAATTTGATCAAAGCTTATTCTATTGAGGTTTGTTAGGCCTATCTTATCCCTTTCTTTCAGGCAATTATTGGACCACCAATAGATGTCAAATTTTGTAAACTTCATGCTTGAGATATCCAAGTCCCAGTGTGAAGAGATGTATTGAAAATTCTACGTTGTGTGAGGATATGATTAGTGTAAGTGGAAGACAATCCTCATTTTACAAACCGGTTTCATGAGGTTGAGTTACACTCAATAGAAAGAAATTAGACAACATTGCTGTCTCTTTTAATTCTGTCCAAAAAAAGCATGTTTGGAAGTTCAACTAGAGAAAATCTTAGAGACTGTAAGTAAGATTGTGGACAATGATGAAGCATTTTGGGAGATGAGAGGGCTTATGACTCCCCGCACCACAAATTTTGTAACCTACATGTACTACATTTATGATTTTGGTCCTCCAAACTTAATGATCATTGAATATACCTACATATATATTTGCAATTTTGGCCTCTTACATTTTTATGTTCTTTCACTTTTTCATGTTCATATGTTATTAATAATATATTATTTGACTTTCTGAAAATCATTAGTCAAAATCCGTCACTGATTGTGGAAGCCTCTAAACCATTGCCTAAAGCCCAAACCAGGGCCAACATAAATTTTTGTTGTATTATTGGGCTTGTGCATTTTCCAGGGCCTGATCTCTAGAAAGCTCCCTTGATGAGGCATTATTAGAAAATACAACATTATTGAATAGGCTTCTATGGAATTCAAGTATTGTATCATATTCATGATTGCTTTTATGTTTTTGTAGATATGCATATATTCCTTGTTGAAAGATTATTGCTGATTAACAAAAAAAATTGTTTTACAGAAGTGCCAAAAGAGGAAGGATGTAATGGGACTTCGACTTCTATTAAATTCTGTTCAAAATAGTATAGAGGAGCCATGGAAAAGAATCCCATCAGTTATTGCTTTATTTGCTGCCGAGGCATCTTGTGTATTGTTAGATCCAACACATGATCATTATGCTGCTATAAGTACATTTTTAATACACTCTTCTAAGTTGAATATGAGGGTATGACATTGAAACTTCTTTCATAAGTTGTTGAGTTTTTTTTTCATTACATGAAAAGTTTTGCTTTTTTTTGAAATTTCTTTTTTTTATGTTCCATTTGCTTCAATTTTGTAGGTTATACCTATGTTTGATAACTTTTTTTGGAGTACCTCTGTCAATTTTAAAGCAGAGAGGTCTTGGATCCTTCGGCTAGTATATGCAGGGCTGAACTCAGATGATGATGCCATGATATATATCAGGAACTCTATCCTTGAGAAGCTAATGAGCTTTTATGTCTCTCCACTTTCTGATTTTGAGTCAAAGAACCTGATTATTGAGGTAAACACATTCTTAAAATTTGTTTTATTCTTTTCTGTCTGTCTATCATAGTGCTTTAACTTGTAATGTCAGAGTAGTATATTTATATCTGATTCTGTCGAATGCATTGTTGGAAATTACTCAAGCTATGTTTCTACTCAACTTGTATTCATCTTTTAATTTGGTTGTCATATCGGGAATTGAATCACAAATTGGTGCCATTTTTTTAATTGTTGAATTGAGTTGACTTGAATCCTTGCTTATACAATTCACTGTTCGAAGCTCAACTTATATCTGTAGTAGTATTCAGATGCTATTTCTACAAAAAAAAATTTATATTGTTTCAATTGAGTTGGACACATGCAACTGTCATAAAACGTGTTGAAGTTTGAGCATGAGGTGGTACATGTTTAACAAGCAGCTGGACAGTGTAAAAAATAGATGGTTTCTAGTCTCAAACGAAACCAATGTTCACCTCAAAGTTATGAAGTGTGAACATCAAAGTACTTGTGATCTTTTAGCACAAGGCTGTGATTACTGTCTAGCTTGTCCAATGTTCATCTTTTGAGCTTCTTAGGTATTCACACGAGGGGGCATACCAGAATCACATTATCTGTTATTAATAATGTGATATCAGCTTGAATAGCTATGGTGACATGCATATCAAGGAGTTTTAGTCTGTAGTCTGGACAAATGCATCTAACAGGTGCTTCTCCTTTAAGAAATGGGCATTCACGGGTTAGATTGTGCTTGTGCTTTTTGAATGGTGCTTAATAAGTTGTTTACCCAAACTCATACTACATGATTTGCAATATGATGATGTATGTTTTTTTTCTTGTGAGATTCTTACTGTAACTTCTCACTTGTCCTTACTCTGCAGGTGATAAAGCAATCTGTTAAATCACATAAGATTATCCGTCATCTAGTCAAACAATGTTCTTTATTTTCATGGTTTTCATCTCTCATATCAGTTAGGGGACAAAGGCTTGATGGAGATGAGAATAAAATTTTCTTGAAACATGTGTTGGTAGCATTGAAGGTACTCTTTTAATTTTTATTTAGTTTGTAGTCCCACACCCCCATCATGGCCTGCAATTTATTGTGTCTCTAATTCTTTCTGTTAATATTTCCCTCTCAAATGTGTCGGGGTTTTCTAACATGATGACTTGTAAGCCTACATATTTTTTTTTTACCAAGGTTGTTCATTGAGCGTAGTGATGAAAACGGTAAAAGAGCAGTTTGATTCTCTGATAATGAGGAAATTATCAACACACGATTTGACCCTCTAGCATTGCTGTTAAAATCACAATCTAATTCTTAAGATTGCACATTTTTATGAGTCAAGCACCCTCTAGCAAGCTAGGTTGTATTCAAGATTGTTGGAAAGTGAGATTGTTATTGACCGCATTCAATCATGGAATCATGAATCCCAACCAGGCAAAGAAAACCCCATTTTTTCTCCTTTGTTAACAAACTCCTTACCATTTGCAACTTCTTTAACCTCTGATTTGAGTGCGACTGGACTTCTCCTTTCCAAGCCAGAGCTCTACCTCTCGTGACTATTGTTGCGATGGGTTCTGCTGTTTCTGTTACAGATGGGTTGTTGTTATTGCATTTGGGACTGGACTTCTCCTTTGCAGATGTTCACTCATGCTAAGTTGTACATGCACTTGCACGACACTGATGACACTTAGCTAGCACTTAGTTAGCAGAGAAGTTGATAGGACCAACGGTATTGGGGGAATTGGATTGAAACATTTGTCTATTTTTTTTAGTTTTTTTTGTTGGGTCTCAATTCAACACCAATGTAGTGAGGTTGGGATTGGTTGATTCCATTTGCAGGTCAGGACCAACCTACTCACACCCCTAACTGTTTTGGGATGATCTTCCTCTTCACCTGACAGTCTATGCGACCTCTGTCTTGCTACTGCTAACCTCACACTTACACTGACATTTGTAGTTGTAAATATCAGACCGAGTTTGAGGTTTTGCTCTAAAGAACACGTTTATACTGTTGAGTTTGCTTTCAGTTCTTTACCCAAACATGCAGTCTAGGGTGATTCACTCAAAGATTTAATAGGCATATAAGGGTAACTAGTCCTCAGGGTTTTCTCAAGAAACTATTCTTATGAAGATGCAATGTATCAATAAAAGCTTTTTTTAGATGATAGAAGCATTTTGACACTTAGATGAATGCTTTCTTCTTGAGAGGGTAATTTTATATGTATATAGTTCAAAACTAGCTGTTAAAAAATCCTTCAAAAGGTTGTTGTGAGAGCCTTTTTGCTTTGAGCTTCATTTTTGTTTGGAAATCCCATTGAAAGAGAAAGTTTTTTGCAACAAAAAATTCTACATAATTGCTTTTCATCAACTTGATATCTTGATAAGAAAGAAAAAGTACTTGGCTTATCTTTCTACAATGAGTATATTTGTTGATTATTAGAGAACATGCTTGGTTGGTTCAAAAGACTTAACACTCCACATGGCTCACTTCATACACAGTGCGTCTTTTTAAGGTGTAGTAGGTAGTTTGTTTAACTGCAAATTCTCCACAATAGAAAAATATTGCATAACATTGAATATACCTATCATAGAAACATTCTGTTAGGGTATAAGGGGAAGAAGAATTTAGTAAGATAGTTAGCTTATTAATTAGTTAGTTAGTTGCTTGAGAGGTGTTATTTAGACATAAATAGGGTAAGAAGGATAGGAGAAAGGAGTTTATTTTTGTAAATTGAGCATTAGTTCTTTGTGAAAGGAGAAATCCTTTGAAATGAGGAAACCCTTGGAGGAGAGAGTGCTCTCCTATTTATTGTTCTTTTCATTTGATTCAATAAAAGAACTTTGTTTTCTTTTTCTGTTTAATTCTTGGTTCCTAACACATACCGTACATTTACTTCTCCTTTCATCTCTCGTATCATTTGATGTCTTTGTTGATCAGATGAAGAGTTTGTCTATTCTAGATATATAGATTGGTTTTTGTTAAGTTAAAACAATTGAGAGTCTTTGATCTAACAGTCCCTAAACAAAATATTTATCAGTCTTAGTCACTGAACCTTTTCTCCATTAATTTTTGTGTCCCTGTTAATGAGTATTACTGCTAGAAAATTCATAGTGCCTTAAAATTGCTAGAAAATGTCTTAGACCAAGAACATTTTACCATGTGGTTGGTATATGCAACTAGTTGTTGACAGGAGAAGTCGTATAGCTGTCATGTCACATCTCTTGTTGATATTTGATGTAATAATTAAGAACAATGTCGAAATAGTTGAGGGACTTAGAGTGATTAAAACTGTTAATGTTCCAACATAAAACCAATTGGCAATATGTAGAGTAGTCTAACATGTATTTAAACCATACCAAATGATATGAGGTAGGCGATGTGGGACTTTCAACACACCCCCTCCAACGAAGCCCGCCGGACCAGGCAAATGGTACTTTTGACCCAACTAAAGGGCAACTTTTGGCCCATGACAATAACCGGAAAGATGTTAGGCTTTGGCTCTGATACCAACTTGAAATAGAAAAAGAAAATAAAGAACTGATTAAAACATTGTTGAGAGACTAAAGTGAATTTCATGGAATGATGAGGAACTAAGACCGGCCAAAAAAAATAGAGAGATTAAGATTGAACTTTGTAATAAGGGAGTGAAAACATGGTTTATAAAAAAATTCAACATGGATGTGGTGTCAGACTAATTGATGATGTGACACCTTACATGGAAGCCAACCTGGATAACACATTATCACTTAATGGTAAAAAAGTCTAGAGATTAATAGTAATAAATATTTTGTTAAGGAACTATCAGTGAAAAAAAAACTTGTTAAATCCTGAACAATATAATATTATTAAAAATATAAAAACTATTTAAAACACATTGTGAACTAAATAATAATAGTAAACTAAATAAAGCATAATATATGATATAATAATAATTCGTAATGCTAATAAAACTAATTAAGCATAATATATAATGAGATTTACTAACTTACACCTACTTTTTAAAAGAGTCAAGTTAAACAAGTTATAACCAATATTTTTAAAACTGGACTTGTCACTGAACCGATAAAGACGTTGATTCAAGGTTTAAAGGTTCAATCGGAGTCCAATCAGATTTAATAAAATAGTATTTTTACAATATAACAAATATATAATAGATTCATTATTAACATTTTTTACAAAAGAAAAAAATAAAGGTTACTATTATGATCATCGTAAGTTATAGTAGAGGTCAAAGTGTAAGATGTATAATAGTTAAAGTAAGATGAAAACATAATAAAATTTCTTAAAATATACCTACAAATTTCTTAAAATATATCCAAGGTTTAAGTTGTTAACATACTCCTTTTAAAAATCAAATGTACAATACAACAAATTACATAATAGTGATGACAAAATTTATAAATAATATACTGATAAGAATTTTATATAACAAATAAAAAGGAGTATAAAGTACTATTAAATAAATACATATATTGTTAATTAATACAAACTAAGTATGCATAAAAATCTAGAAAAAACAATTATATATTTACAATTTCCAAAATAAGTACATAAAAAATAAAATTATGGGAATCCTGCAACCGCTATAGCGTTTAGGGAGGGTAGCCTCTCTGCTCCGCTATCTACTATTGACTATTATGCATGTTATTCTCTATTTATGAGCTTGGTTTAAATTCAACACAACAAAGATTATCACAGAAAATTGTTAATCGAAGCTATATTTTTTTTCCTTTGACTGGAAATGATATATTTTACTCATTTGCTTTTAATCGAAATCCTTTTTCTTTACACTTAATCCACCTATTATTGCTTAGGTTGTCAATGATGTTATTTCATCTGGAAACATGTCTAAGTGGTTGCAAAATAATGGTCTTGATCCGCTCATGGAGCTTTCGGCCAATCTATTTAATTTCTTACACCGTGATGCAACATTGTCAAATGAAACTGTTGTACTAGTTAATCCTTTTCTACAAATGGTAGCTTCAACGTTGAAAGTATCTCAAAGAAGAAAAATATATCAGCCACATTTTACCCTATCAATTGAAGGCTTGTATCAGATGTACCAGGCTGGCAGTGTGTATAATGAAGCCAAAGAAAGCATTAAACCGGAGCTTGCTCTTGAAGCCATACTTATGAATGAACCTCTTATTTCCATTTTCTCTATGGTACTTCCTTTGATCCCCTCATTTATTTGTTTTTATTATGAACTTGGTCACCGATTACTTTACTGTATATTTTTTAAAAATGTTATTCAAAGACATACAGTGAATTCAATCTTGGAGTGCTCGTGGTTTTATATTTTAATTAGACTTTAGCTACGTCAATGCAAATGATTTTCATACAGTATTGTTTATATATATGAACTGACGATAATATCTGAAGATGAATAATGAAATTCACCTCATGCTTCAAAAGTGTTTAAAGTTTTACAGATGTACAAATTAAATTCACTTCATGCTTCGTACTATATGATAAGATTTTTTTTCATTACACCAATATATGATAATTTTTTTTAGTCTATCATACACTTGTGAAAGAGTTAATTTTGAAATATTTTTGGTATTTGTAATTGTTGTGGGTCTCAGATTTGCCTTTTTATTAATTTTTTCTTAATCTGTAATATTAAATGTTTATTCCTTGGAGAAATAGTACATATCAGGCTAATTTTAAAAATATTTTTGGCATTTGTAATTGTTGTGTTTTATATTTGGCCAGTTATTACTGTTTTCTCAATCTATAATATTAAATGTTTATTCCTTGGAAAAATAGTATATATCAGGCTAAAGCTCTATTCTTATTAAGTGAATACTTCCTTTATTTTGTCCCTTTTTTTTTTTGAGTCGGTATGAATAACCCCCTCATTTTAATGAATACAGAATCAGGAAAGACTTCAAAGCTTTCTTATCTGGGCAACTACAACTGCTTTTCAGTTCAGAAATAGTTTTAGGGAAGAGTTTGGTGAGAACTCTGTAGTTTCAACATTTCTACGCTGGTTAACAGCATCAGTAATAATTGGGAAGCTCCATAAAAAACATTCTAATAGGGATTCAGGATTCGCTGAAACACACAACTTTGAATCCCTGAATTCTTTACTGGTGCATGTTGAAAATACCTACGGGCAAAGAAATGATATTGATATTGGTGCTGAGGAATTACTAGCGTCAACAATTTTCCATCTGCAATTGCGTCTTGGTGTCAATCATCAAGTGTTACCATCAGTTGTATGTGCTCTCTGTCTCCTGATTTTTGGTCCCTCTAATTTTGCAGGTATGCTACTTTATACATTTAATAGTTTACTGAATGCAATTATGTTGAATAGACATTTTGGTTGGATGTTTCTATCAACACTCTTGCTTTTGACGAGACATTTATGTTTTTATTTTATTCTACAGTTGGCAAAACTGATTTATTGCAAGACTACGTCAGTTTAATATCGTCACATAGTTCAAGGGTACCGTGTCCTCCTGAAGCTAATCCAACTTGGAGATGGTAATTTTTCTGGGTCTTCTAATTTCTTATACTTAAATGAACTAGAATATGTATTTTACTGCTATGAAAATGAATTTTAATGGGATTCTTAGTATTAATGTATGATGCTTCAAAAGTAATCATGTTGGACCTGATGGTTGTTTAGGTCGTTTTATCAGCCATGGAAGGATCATTCACTGGAGCTCACTGATTCACAGAAGATGGAGGAATATCATGCTTGCTTAACTTTGTTAGTGGTTATCTCTAATGTTCTTGGTGGAAGGAAATTAGAGTCGGCTAGTTTATCCCCTGTGGATTTGGAGACATGTGGCTTATTCCAATGGGAAAAAGGTTTACTAAGAAACTGATAGTTTGAGTTATTAGCTTATATTTTGTACATAAGGCAGTGTGCAGCTAGTGTCAAAGTAATGATATATTTGAAAATACAAATTTTGCCAGTAGAAACAAGCCATCTTTTATGTATTTGATGGCAATATACAACCCAAATTAAAATTTTGATCTGATGTTCATTTTGTTGGATTAATTACTGTATTAGTGAGATAACATGTTCATATAGGTTAACTTATCTGACTTAAAAGCTGTTTTATTTATTAGTTTCGAACACTTAGTAGTAGTAGCCTTTTTTTTCATCTGTATTCTTTGTGATTCAGGGGCACCTTTGCTATAAATATATGAATCAGCTGAAGGATCATGGATCTCTTATGCTATTTTTTACCTTTTCTGTCTTTAAGTTTGAAATTTAGTTTCAACATGTAAAAGTATTAGCCTTAGTTCTTAAATGAAAAAATGTTTTAAAACCATTTACCATATTCATTTCAAACATTTAATTGTCATTGATTATAAATTATTAGAAATCATAAAATCATAAACGGAGTTTGAAAATCACAAGTTGTGGATCTAACTTGCTTAAAGAGATTTATTTACGAATTTATAGATTCTAATAAATTGTAATTAATAGTGTGTTATAAGGTATATATGTTAGGGGTTGTGTTTGTAAAATTTCATTGTTTCTAAAATTGGACGGCCTAGTTTACGGAGAACAGTCCAATGTCTTGTATGTTAATCCCAAAAATGTCATTTTTGTTTCTCAGAATAGGAAAAAAATCAATAAAAATTTGGTGAAGAGACTTGTAATTTCTCTATGTCAAAATATTCTTTTGATTTATCTTATTAAAATTTGTTTTTGTCTTTTACTTTTTAAAGGAATCATTCTGGTAATAACTCAAACTCAATCACACCGCTCTAATCATAATTAACTCTTTTGACTCAGAGAATGAATAGCAAAGACTGAGAAGATACTTAAATCTTCCCCTCTGTATATTAAGAGTGCTTGTAATTATTAAATCATATTTATATACTGAGAATACCTACACACATATTGAGAATCTTGTTAATATAAAATTTAAAACTATAGACTAAGCTATTAAATCATATTTGAATGATATATATATATATATATATATATATATATATATATATATATATATATATATATATATATATATATATATATATATTCCATATGTTACATTCGTGCCAATCCAAAACATAAGTCATTGTATTATTTCTTACATGAAAGAAAAAGAAAAATATAAAATATGGACAAGTGGAAGTTTAACTCCTTGAAAAACATATAATTAGAATGATTTATCATTCTGCTTATGAAGTACCCTTATACTTATTATAAGGTGCATTAATAAAATATAACTCTAACTTATAAAACAATCAACATAATATAATTTTGCCTCTTTTTACTTTTCATGATGTATTAGTTAGGGACAAACTAAAGAAAAATATAAAAGAAATAGTATTGAAATCGGTATGAGTTTTAGGCTAATAAATTTGCACGTTTTGATGAAGTAACAAATCCTCCACGTGAGTACGAATACCTGGATTGCACCTGACTTGTCCATTTCTAGCAAGTGCATCAATTAGATTGAACAAAGGGTCATTTAGCTCACTTTACACATGATTTGTCTATTTCTAGCAATTGCATCATGTGATGGATACAACTTTATTCAATTACTTCATAGACAAAACTCACTTTAAGTTTGGTCTCTCTCTTTTTTTATCTTCATACTAGTTGTGGAAGGAATCTATTTATGTAATGAGCAAAAGAAGTTTCGCTGAACATGTAGAAATGGTTTTATAAGAGAGTAGACATCCAAACATGGTCCATGATAAAGTAACATGGCATTACAAAAAGCTGCAACCCTTTCCCTTAATATCTCAGTTTTAATGGAAACAAAATCTTAAGATAGAGTGAGAATTAAAGACATTTCCAGTGGGTTTGATGGACTGGAGAACATCATCATCCAACATAATACAAACTAAGTAAAAAAACCATGCTTGTCCATGTCCCTCCTGTATTATTCACTAAAGTTTGTTGAAGAGTCATATTTTTACTATTAAAGTGGTGCTCAAAGTGATGCTATGCACTCAATTTCAATCTTGGCATCCATTGGCAAGGCAGCTACTTGATACGTTGACCGAGCCGGGGCAGGTGAAGGGAAGTCTGAACCAATTTTAACTACAGTTAAATCATTATTGACACCAGTACTAGCAATTAAAAAGAAAAATTGAGAATAAAATGGTAAAGCCTTATCATTTCTGCATAGGACTAAACATATTCAAAGATCCTGTGACTAAACAGAGTAAAAGAGTGGATTTTCCTTCATTCATAAAGTTCTCCTTTTTCAAAAAACATATTGTCGGATAATTTTCTTTTTCTGTTATGCGAAGGTAACCACTGACTAACACATGAACCTTGAAATACACACTGTAAAAGCTAGCCAGCTATCAGTGTAGCACATTTAGCAGTTTATTTGCATAAGGGTTTAATAGACTGCAAAGTTAAACAGAAGGCTAATTACTATTATGAAACGTGATAACAAATGAAGTGCCAAAGTTTAGGATGGTAGTGCTGGTCATATAACTCACATTTAGCATAGATCTCATTAACTTTCTTGAAGTCCTTCAAGTCAGCCAACCTGGAGGAGATAAACAGTATAAATATAGTCATTTTGACAGCACTCAATGCAATTTAAAGTAAGGAAGAGCAAAGAATTCATACAATATTGTTGTCTTAACAACTGATGAATAGCCAGCACCCCCAGATTTTAGTATCTCCCCCATATTTTTGAGAAGCTGCAATGTGTAATTATTTTACAAATATCAGTGACAAAATCAGTCTCAGCACAGTATACTTTCACAACAATGCTACATCAAAACAATATCGCTAGCATGTGTTACTGTCAAAGTCAGACGAATTTAAATGCATCCATCAGACAACGATTAATGACATTTAAAGAATGTAAGTAATAAAAATTGCTTATGTAGGAGTGTTCCACTTACGCAGAAAGACACAGTGTGAAGATTAGTAATGTACTTAGCATTAACAATGGTAAAATCTTAGTATTCATTTGATATTTGATGATTTTAGGAGTCTGATAGGTTCTTGATTTGGTTAGTGACATGTAGGGGCCTGGCAAAGCCCAATTCTTTTCTTATAAAAGAAAAGGTATTGGAGTGTGGTCTTCTACGGCTTTCTTTATCAGTGAAATATACTAAATAGTGATCTTTCAACAATCAATTTATTGGAAATTTTTAAAGTAAGCTCTTATAAAAGCTAACTTTTCTTCACAGAATATCTATTTTTCTGAAATGATGATGGTTTCAAGTTAGTTTCACTAGCATATCTTAACCAATTCAAAGTTCTTTTCAAACTAGAGATAGTTAAGTTAGCTTCATACACACATTCATCCAAGTGACCATTCTAAATCATTCAGTACATCCAAATAAGTGCAGAGGGAGGATTTCCACTTCAAATATTAAGAACATTTGATACCATAAAAATTACTCAACAATTAGGAGTGAAGTCATCCATTCAATTAAACCATATCTCAAGCCCAAGTTCTTATAAATGATCAACCAAACCTCATAAGCACAAATCCAAGAGAAAAGTGACAAAATACAAATACTAAGAAAATTTCACTATATTACAAAATGAAAGGCTGTATGTTCATAGGTATCTTACTGTACCTGCTCTGTCTGATCTTCAACGTTATCAGAGATGAACTTTCCAGTCTGCATTAGAGAGCAAAACATATATTATCAGTCCAACATTTAGCATGCAACTAGCACAAATACACAATTGCAAAAAAGATGGGAAAAATTAAATTGAAGAGTGAACTTCAGATGGATGATGTGAAACCTCGGGAACAAGGCCAAGAACACCCGACACAAACAGAAGGTTGTTGGCTTTGATTGCTTGAGAGTACGGCCCCAATGCCGCTGGGGCCTTTTCAGTCTGAACAGCTTCCTTTATTCCTACAATCAATGAGAAAGCAATTGACAGCTCAAGATTTCAATGAAGATAAAAACAAAAATACAAATTCTTTCTCAAGATTTAACTTTTTATTACATGTATTTTTAGATTTATTTTACACATTGCATCATAATCACCAAGTTCTTGTCAAAAGTAAAACCATAACCAACTTATTAGAAATCAAAAACAATTTCAGGAGCCAATTAAAACTTTCCACAACCAAAAGCAATGCACCTAAATTGACCATTTATTCACGCATAAGATATATACATATTAAAAAAAAAAAAGATTAAAACTTTTCCAAAATATGTAAAATTGGGAAGGAAAAAAAAAACATAATGAAACCATCGGATTTACTGGTATCAGTAGAGAGGCTCCTGCACGCGAATGGCAGAGAGCGCTTAGACGAAGACGAACGCAAGAGTGCGACGCCGGCAACCGTGGCTCCACCAATTCCGGCGGCCCACGATGCCCTACGGCGAAAAACGCCGCCGTTCATCGCCGGAATATGGAAAGTCCTCGCCGCGCAAAACGACGCCATATCTCTCTCTGTGAAACACTAACACATCCACTGTCAGTGACTCTGTCTGATATTATAAAATTCTGGGACAAACGTTTTGCTTCGTTATTAACGTTTATAATGTTTTTTCAATTTTCCAAAATTACCCTTATTAACTCGTGTATGTAGTAGATTCTCTGATGGAACTTCTCATTCACACACACTTTTTCTCTGTTCTCAGATACACATAACTCTTCTTCAAATATATTTTTCTTTATAATTATATAATATTCATAAGTTTTATCAATTCACCAATTTAGTTTAATATATGTTAATATTGTTAATTCAGTTAAATTAAAATTTATATTATTATGTTCATTAAATTGAAAGGAAAAAAAATTCACACAATTTAAAATTTTAAGAATTGATTTATCAATTTAAAAATTTTATAGACTGAACTAAGTTTAACGAAAAGGGTACGAATGAATATTTTTTTTAAAGAATTTATAAATAAAAATTAACATAATAAAAACATTTTTCTTTATTGTTTTTATTTTAAAATAGTCACATTAAATGATTTAATAAAGACAATATAAAATTTTTTAGTAAAATATTTAAATATGATTATAGTTTCTACAAATATATATATATATATATATATATATATATATATATATATATTCCTGTCTTTTTTTTAGTGTTTGTAATAAAATATTTGTAATTTTAAATTCTAATATTTTTAACTTTTCTATTTTTTGTCCTTATTATTAAGTAAAATATTTTAGTAAAAAAAAGTTTAAATTCTAATATTAATTAATATAATTAAGGTAACAAACACTATTTTAATTTAAGACAAATACTTTTTAGGTACATAATTTAACTAAATAATAATAATAAAATGGAAATAAGGTAATTATTTTTACTTTTTCAGTCAATAATTTAATTTTTATTAAAAATAACTATAATTTATTTAGTGATATTAATCAGTTGTATCCAATCATAAATAATTTTGTACCAAATATTAATGTTATTGGTAGAAAATCAGTCCATATTCAAAAAGCATAGAGTTTCAAAACCAGAAAATAAATTAGAAAGATATCTAATAATAAATAATTATAATATAAATTTGTTGATTTTTATAACAATATATCTTAAAAGTTAGATAAACATAACTAATATGCTTAATACATTGATTAAGGAATTAAAAGTATAAGGATTTTAAAAATGTTTATGATGAATGCTATTAAAAAGGTAGTCAAATTCATCTATAAATAACATAACATAGAATGTGATTCTTTGCAAACAAAAACAAATTCAGAAATCAAACCTTTCATTTGTGTCATAAATAAATAAATGGGAACCTCAGCTATCAAGTTCTTCAGCATGATCCTCTTCTTTGTCTTCATTTCTGAAGGTGATGATTTCTCAGAATTTATGAAACATGAAAAGTTTGATGAATTGTGGTTTTCATAATCTGTTCATTGCATGATGTGTTAGGTCACAGCAAATGCTCATTGAAGGATATTCATGTAAGCCAAGAAATCACTGGGCTTGCAGTGAAGGGAAAACCAGAATTGATTGTGACAATTGCAAACTGGTGTTCTTGTGCTCAATCAAATCTGACGCTGGATTGCAAGGGATTTCAATCACTCACACCAATAAACCCTTCAATTTTGGAACTTTCTGGGAATGTTTGTCTTGTTAATGGTGGAAAACCTCTCTTGGAAAATGCCATTCAATTCACCTATGCTTGGGACAACCAATTTTCATTTGATCCCATTTCTTCACATATTTCTTGTTTTTGAATGTTCATCCAAGGAATTTTATTTGGGGCTTTCTAATTGTCAATAAAACTTTGGTTTTTAAGTTCAGTTTATTCTTAGTTCCTTTTCTTTTTCATTTTATTTTGCCTCATGAAAAATAAAATACTAATCCTCAGAATTAATGACACTCCTTAGCAACATGATTTTTAAAAAAATTCAATAATAACTTTTATATACCCTATAAAAGTTAATGACTATTTTATTATCACTTTTTTAAAAGTTCATTTTTTTTTTCATATTTATGGAATCTTGCAACTGTGATTAGGGATTTGAAATATTTACCACATCCCTCTAACTCTGTTTTAAGTACCTTGGAGAATGAAACAAAACATCTCAATGCTAAGTTCATTAATTTTTAATTTTTTTAATAAAAATCAGTGTAAATTTTTACATTTTATCAGTCAATTAAAATTATATATTCTATGACTTTTTAAGTACTTTTTTTTCAGATTCAAATATTGACAACAAAAGAAAAATTGAAACTCAAATACAAACAAATTTTAATTACTTTAATCCTGAAATTAATGATATTATTGTTTATTTTTTCAGTGAAAATATAAAGAGATTCTCCAACTACAATTGTGCTGCAAATTCATAGATGTGGAACATAATTTCTACAGATGGGGCATGATCCTTGTTGGAGTAGCCATTTGTCTATGCACTCCAAGTGAAAAAAGTGGCCACAGTTTGGAAGTGTCCTCACAAATTCTTCATCCTCAAAATCCTGCACAATATAATTGTGTATGTATGAAGAAAATTAACTGCTTTTAGTTCTGAAACTGATGAATTTTCACAGGCTAAGAAAAATTTTCTCACCTGGAAGCAAATTGAGCAGCATGATTCATTGTATAGTTTCAGCATTTTACTGGAATTGAATTGTTGAACAGGAAGCTCTTGGATGATATTCCAAGCCATTCCTTTGACTGTGATCCCCCTGACAATGCCATTGTTAATATCTGATTCTTCTCTGTAAGTTGTTGTTCCATGTGCATTGATCTGCAAATATTAATTTCATCAAATATTTGTTTTCACATTTATATTTGTTTTGTGTTCTTATTCTTACATGACACTGATAGGCTTGTGCAACAGCTGGACATATCCATTCCATAAATAGCTTTCCATTGAATAAACTCCTCAATAGGGCAACCTGCAAATCAACATCAAATATTTAAGAGTTCAGACATGAAGAATGTCATTGCTAGTTGGCTTATATGATATATCATATGTTAGGATTGAGTTGTTATTTTTAGAATTTGTTCAGAAAACCTTCTCTATCTTCATTTCATGTTTCATTATAATTGTTTCAGCATCACTACTTTTACTTCATTTCAACTACATTGCATACTTTATTGTAACTTTAAGAACACATCCTTTAAGGAAGAAACAAAATATGTAAGTGTATATCATTCATTACCTCTAACCTAATACTGTAGAAAAGCAAAGTTGTTTAGCCATTAGCCATATCTTAAAGTCGGTCAGTAGATAACAATAACATCAATATGTAAGGACTAAATATAAGAAGATTTTCAACAAATAGGATGGAATGAATTATATAAGAATACGACACTAATTTTGACCTAAACTTATATTAGATTACTCAACTTTTTCGTTTCTGATTAACACCATTTTTCTATTCACACTTGGATTTCCAATATAAAAGCGAATTTACTTATATACACCCTTAGCCAAAAACCATGAAAGTTGAAGAGTTACCTTAGATAGAGGCTCAGCAGCATTATTTAGTAATTCTATTGCAGCAATTGCCCCTGTCACAGCTCCTTTGCAAGCCCCATCAAGAAAACCACCTTCTGTGGTATGTCCACTCATGGCTCCTGCAATTATCCCCATCATGGACCCTCCTGTGCCAAATATTAAACATTACTTACAACACCATAAAATTCTAAACAGCGAAATCAGGAAACATAATATAATGTAACATGTTTTATATGGCCACGTGCACTGAACTAAAACTGATATATCAGAACAAAGGCAAAAGTAGCAGTTCAACACATCACCTAATGCCAGAATGCAAGTAAATTCAGCAAAAACAACTCTCTCTACAACTTTCATGAATTGATCAAGTCCATATCCGCCACTGCCAGCCAGAACCCACATGGAAAGAAGTTCCTTACACCTCGTTGTTGCTCCTACCATCCCAGAAAACCACATGGTCGTAGTTGTGGAAAGGGTGAGAAAATTGCCTAATTAGCTTGCTTAGCTTCAAAACTGAGAAGATGAGAAAGATGCAAGATATTTTGCCTCGTAAAATGGTGAAGCTATGGTGTCATTTAAAGAGTGAGGAAAGGCACGTTATAAAGGTTTTTCCAAAAGTACATATCTGGTGCCAGAATCTGAGGACTATATATAGTATATAACAGCAAAGTAGTGATTACATTGATGTCCCTTAATGCGAGTAGATGGAACATGCACATGTTTTTGGAAAGAAGAGAAAGGTTGCTGCAGTGAGCACTCCAGAGTGATCTAGTTTAGCCTTCATTTTCAAAGTTTCACATGCCCTTCAGTACATAGATTGAGAATGTTAGTAAAACGAATGAGTGAAGGTTAAGTGTGTTATCTATAATCAGATTTAGACTTTCTTTATAATATTAGCTATTGAATAATATTATAGATTTGATTAAAGATATAAACGTGTTAGATATTTACCAGAAAGATGAGTCAACCATATAAGAAAATATGATATTATTTCTAACAAAAAATTTTAAGATATTAGATTATAGATTTTTTTCCGTTACAAGTTTTTCAATTTTTCCATTTTTATCTAACGTGACTTATTTTTATCTAATGTGAGACTTCATCTCATATTTAAATTATCAATAAAATAGGACCAAAGTTAATTATACAAAAGAATATGACATCATTCTCAACAACAAAAAAACTTTAAGATATCATGTTATGAATATTTTTTTATTTGTAAGTTATTTAATTTTTCTATTCCTACCAAATATCTAATTTCAACTCATTAAATTATTAAGAACAAGTGAGATTTCTTTTTATACTGGTACACATTTCCCTCCAAACGGAAGTATTTCATATCTTCTAGTATCCAATAATGATTTTACTTTTACAATATAATTTACTAATGTGAAACTCTTATTAAAAAAACTTTCAACGTAATGATAAGGATCTATAATATAAGATCTATCAAATATTGCAATCATACTCAACTAAGCTGATTATCGTTTAAATCATTAATTCATTTATCACGCTTATATAAAGATTATATATTCATGATTTATAGCTTCATATTGCATTAAAACTATGTCTCCACCAAATATAAAAATGAGGTATGGTTCAATTTAAACATAAATTAAATTTAAAATAAATAAAATAATCTTTTGTTAATTTTGGTTTTATTGTATTTATATTTTTTTAATTTTAAACTAGACGATTTAGGAAAAAAAAACTGTCTAAAACTTTGATAAATATATTGTTAATTTTAGTGAATTAATGACTTAGATTAGCCACTTTTGGGCATAGGAAGCCATGTGTGAGCAGATGGCTAGTGATGTTATTGTTTTCATTACGTATTTGAATTTATTTTGGATTATTTATGATTGGTTAGGTATTTTGACTAAATGTTCACATGGTTTATTTCTGAATCTAAATTAATTTGGACTTGAAACAATTTATAGTGGATTTTGGGTTTGACAAAAATAAAATTGTTGTAAATTTTTAGTATTAAGGTTACTATTGGTTTTTCATTTTGAATATTTCAAATTCGGTTTGAAGAGTAAACTTTGTTTCCGAAAATATTTGGTTATCCTCAAAAACACGTTTATATATTAAAAAGTGAATTGGGCCGTTTGAACTTTGCTGGGCTTGATTAGCCCAGACCTATACACAAAAGCATTATACACAAAATCATAAATGAAGGTTGAATAGGTTCAGATCAAATCTAAATTTAGATTTTGAATTTTAATTTTAATAATTCAAATCAATCCTATATATACCCAATTGCATATTTTTTTTATTATTTAAGATTTTAGTTCAACTCATCTAATTATTTTTATTATTATTACCATCTCATATATTAATATATATCAATATTATATTTAGAAAACAATATTTTTTTAAAAATTTAATTATTTAGATAATAAATTAATTAATGATTATATCCAAATAATTTGTATCGGATTTGAATTGAAAATAAAAACTAGAAAAAAATATAAATGAAAAAAAAATTAAAATTGATAGATTCCAAAGAAGAAAGGATGGAGAAACAGATGAGAAAAGCAGGCGCTGAAAAGTTGGTTTCTTGTTGGGGTAGAATGAATAAAGCATGAGTTATTTAATTGCATCAAATATAGAAAAAACAACTTTATTCTTTTTGGACTAATAATGTACTTCTCATTCACATCAATTTTTTCTCACTTTATTTATTCATATGTTGTTAAAATAAGTTAACTAATAAATAGACTAAGTTAGGTGGAGCCACTCGTTGATAATCCTGAATCTCAATTTATTTTACTAGTAAAAAATATATACCAATCAATGAAATAAGACTTATCTTACTTTCCAATTTTAATCCTAAGTTATTCAATTTTCAAAATGAATTAAATTTAATCTCTCCATAAGATTTTCTTTCTCATAAAACTCTTATGTTTTAGTGAAAATATTTTGAGGTTTATGATGGGTTTGACATGTTAAGTACTTTTTAAAATTTGTAATTGAGAAGTCTAGTGAAAAGTTTAGAAAAGTTAAGGAGATTATAGAACGTAAGATTAGGGTTTGTAGAAGAAAATTTGAGAATTCTTTTTCTTTTTACGTTTGGGATTAAATTTGTTATTTTGGTTTATAAGTTTTGGATTATTAAGGTGAAACAGAAACAGAAACCATCAAACTATTTTTATTTTTACCAATTTCATAAAAGATTTTAAAAAATTAAGATTTTTTTAAATAATTATTTACCTAAGGTTCTCAACATTTACATTTTTTATCTCATAATTTTATTAGATATGGTTCATTATCAAACTTAATTTAACTTATTATTAAGTAATACATGAATATGATATCATAATTAGACTCTTCGAAAATTACTCGTTTAAATTTCTGAGAGCAGAAAAAAAAAAAGAGATTTTAGTTGCTTCACTATCAGTCTATCCAAAATTTATATTATTTTGATATTTAGGAAAAGTTTGAAATCATTTAGAATTTGAAACTAAATATATAATTCATAAATATTGTTAGTTCTTTTAATACAACATCTTCTCACGGAAAAAATCATGAAATTCACAATTATCATGAAAAAAATGAAGAATAACTCTTAATTACTTATGTACATTATTTTAAGCATATCTTAGATGAAATTTACATAATTGAACATCTATTAATTGTTTGGTAATGACACAGTAATAGGTGAATCCATAATTTCAACTAAGATAATTTTTAATACCAAATTTTAATGTTAAATTTAGGCTTGACAAAGCAATATATTAGTTTTCACTTATATATAATATTTTGATTATAATTTCAATTGATATGGTGTCTCTAACAAATATTTCAAATACAATTATGTTATTTAAAGATGATAAATACAATATTTATATGAAGTTGTTTGTAATATATATTTTGAAAAGGTTTTTATTATAGTTTGTTGAGAGTAATTTCATTTTGAATAAATCCTAATTTTCAGGAGTATTTTGTTTTTTTAGTTCAACCATTGTCACGTAGATGATGTGTGCTACTTTTTTGTATTTTGTTAAGAGATGAACAAGTTAAATAGTAACATCTCTGATCCAATAAACGCATTAGTTTTCATTGCAAGTATATACATATGTATATTCTTTACAAATTGGTATCAAAGCCCCCATTGGACCTGGTACATATATCTAAACAGGAGCTTTATTGAAAACGTCACGTACGAAGATGAATAATGAAAAACATTCAGTAAAGATCCCTTATTTTGATGGTTAACATTATGATCATTGGAGTGAGTTGATGAAGAATCTTCTTCCTGCAAAGGGTATATGAAAATTGCTCAAAATGGTGTTGAGGAGTCAATTGAAGGCACTGTTCTAACTGAGGCACAATTGGAACAATTGGAGCAGTCCAGAACTGAGGATCACAAAGTCAAGCACTATCTTTTAAGGGTCATTGATCCTTCTTCGTGCAAAGGGTATCTAAAAATTGATCAAAAATGGTGTTGAGGAACTAATTGAAGACACTGTTTTAACTGAAGCACAGTTGAAAAAATTGGAGCAGTCTAGACCTGAGGATCACAAAGCCAAGCACTATCTTTTTAAGGCCATTGATCGATCCATTTTCGAACAAGTCTTAGACATGAGCATATCTCATATTATGTGGGAGTCCTTGAAAAGAAAGTTTGGAGGTAATGCTCAAGTAAAAAAAATTCATCCTCAATGCATTGCGGCAAGAGTTTGAGTGCTTGAAATGATTGAAACAGAAACTTGTCGCAGTAGCAAACAAAATGAGAAGTAATGGTGAGGATATGCTTGACTCAAAGGTAGTAGAGCAAATACTTCGAACCTTGACAGCAAGATTCACCTATGTTGTTGTCTCGATTGAAGAATTGTTGGACACAAAAGCAATGTCCATGGATGAACTACAAAGTTCCTTGGTGGTCCATGGACAAAAGTTCAAAAGATTCAACCGAGAAGATGAACTAGTCCCCACATCAGAAAGTAGTAGAGAAGGAGAAGAGGAAGAGGAGAGGGACAAACCGAGGTCGTAGACGTGGAAGAAGGAGGTAGTCCTTCTCAAATGCTACAGTGGAGTGCTTCAATTGCCACAATTTGAGCCACTTCCAATATGAATGTCCCAAGTGGAATAAATAAGCAAATTATGCAGAATTATATAAAGAGGAAGAGCTTTTGTTGATGGCTATTGTAGAAAAAGGAGTCACAAGGAATGATGCTTGGTTTTTAGACTCAGGATGCTCTAATCATATGTGTGGAGACAAGGTATGTTCGCTGAAATGAAGGTAGACACTCAGCACTTGGAACAGACAGTGTTAGATTAACGTTCAGTGGTACTACTTTTCTCATACGCGACTTAAACTATGTTCCAGAGCTTCGGAAAAATTTGTTGAGCATGGGGCAGCTACAAGAAAAAGGTTTTGTCATCCTCATACAAAATGGGACGTGCAACAACTAAAGGCTTGATTGCATATATTAACATGAGTACAAATC